AATTTTTCAAGTAAGTATTTATCGAATAAATACAACACCCGTACATACTAATTGCGAATTAACTGATCGTCATCTTTAAAACATGCATCATATACAAATTTTGATTTGTTACTATAAAGTAAATACAGTATAAATATTTACCGAGTGTCTTGAACTCCTTCAACAAAGATGTGGATTGTGGGAATCGGTTCCCGGTTGTAACGTCAACTGCTTGAGGTTACTCGCTTGAGGAATCCAAGTGTTTTCCCTCTAATTGTATCCACCCTATGAAGCCCGGTTCCGACGACCTTTCTTCGCTAGTAGAAATGTCTCGGTTTTCTTGTATAGGAATTTATATGGATTTATTTTGGGAAATTTTCAAGAACACTTTCTTGTTTTGTGAAGAACTTTTCTTCTCTTTCTAACACTTTAGAAATTTAGCCAAAATCAATTAGCAAATGCAAAACCATTTTGCATCTATTTATACTAAACATTTTAGCATAAAATAATCAACATTTAGTAATATTTAAATAAAATCAAATTTTATTTAAATAGTATTTACTAACTATTGACTTTGAAAATAATAAGATATGTTAGGTTGTTCATAACCACCATTACCCACCATCTATTATATTCATAATTATTATTTTAATCTTTAAATCATATTTAAAGATAATATAATAATAAATCTTAAGAATCTTTCTTAAGACTTTATTATTATATTCATTTCCCAATTTCATCCATATTATAATAATCATATTATTATTATTTTGGATTTGAAATTTAAAATCCTATTTTAAAATTCAACTTTATTAATTTAGTAATTACCTTAATTACTAAAGTAATATCCAAAATGTAATTAATCAATCTTATTGATTAACATATTCCTTTAATTGACATCTAATCAAATTAGATATTGTCAATTAATTCTAACTCTTTAGAAATACATTTTTCACCTTTGTTCATAATAGGTGTGACCTTTTAGGTTCACCTTAATACTAGTAGTGGGTTTACAACACTTTGTAATTTGAGTTAATCACATTAACTCTTATTCTTGAATTAACTCTTTAATTCTAGAACCCACATATCATAGTAACACCTAGCAAGCAGTATGAATCTAGTATTAAGTGAATAGCGAGTAAACCTATTTCAATTACAACTCCATACATGTAAAATCCTTTCGACATCTAATTTCCCGATTAAGTCTTGGGTATGATTTTGTCGAAACCCAAATTGACTTAATAACTATGATTCTATTTCAAAGTGTATTAACCCGGTTATGAATCTCTATTCATCTCTGCCTTGGCCAAGGACTTTGGATTAATAACTATGAAACACATAGGAAATTCACTTATCTTCATAAGTGTCGAATCCTTTATTGGCCACTAACAAACTTCCATACATATTAACATAATACCCAACTTATCCCTTTAAACGATAGTGCTAGCTACCAAAAGGATAAATCAAAGTAGAATGTAATATGCACAAAGTTACCATTGTGCCTCAAGTCTTAGGATTAGTCATGTACTATTGTAACATGAAAATTCTTATTCGACTGAATAAATTCTTCATTAAGAATTTTCATACGGTCACGTTCAGTGAACTTGTTCTCTAACAAGCACCCACATAAATGTACTTGCGTCATACGCTAATGTTGATGGAATGCAACATTCTTGTCCAACAAGCATACATACTATGTGCAAGTCTTTTATGGATTATTCGATATCCCATCTCGAAACATCCATCGACTTGGAACTGCATTTAAGATCACAGCTTTCAAGGTATGTTCCATGATCACCATCTCTATGCGCAACCATACCTTATAACTATATGTGATCTAGGGATTTTATCTTAAGTGCAAATATAAGATAAATGCTTACTCTTAAGATAAAGTAATGCCTTTTAATTAATATAATTCCAATAGATTGTATTTACAAGTAGAATACGTCCAATCCGATTGGAACGCTGGGTACCCTACTCTAACACTCTGGGTAACCAATAAAGCAACCACTCACAGTTCGAGAATCCAATTTCTTTTCATGTGGGTTGTATACTCGTGCTTCTGCTGGACAACCCCAAACATGCAGGTGTCTCAAACTAGGTTTCCTTCCAGTCCATAACTCAAAAGGAGTTTTAGGAACTGACTTACTAGGAACCCTATTTAGCAGATACACAACAGTCTTAAGTGCATACATCCACAAAGATTTGGGTAATGATGTATTACTTATCATACTCCTAACCATATCAATTAATGTTCTATTTCGCCTTTCTGCTACACCGTTTTGTTGAGGTGTGCCTGGCATAGTATACTGTGCACATATACCATGTCTTTCGAGGAACTTAGCAAATGGACCGGGATTTTGTCCCGATACATCATACCTTCCATAGTATTCACCACCTCTATCAGACCTTACTATTTTCACCTTTCTATCTAACTGCCTTTCAGCTTCATTAATGAAAACCTCAAGTGCATTTGCAGCTTGAGATTTTTCCTTGAGCAGATAGACATAACTATAACGTGAAAAATCGTCTATAAAAGTAATGAAGTACTTTTCTCCATTGAAGGATGGAGCATTAAAAGGTCCACATATATCGGTGTGTATAATTTCAAGAAGCTAACTGCTTCTTGTGGCTCCTTTCTTGTTATGTTTGGTTTGCTTTCCCTTAATGCAATCCACACACAACTCAAGATCGGTAAAATCTAAATCCAAAAGAATCTCATCTTTCACCAACCTTTGCATTCTTTCTTTGGATACATGACCCAACCGTTTATGCCACAAGAAAGCAGAGTTCTCATTTGCTACACCACGTTTAATTCCAATGTTTTGATGAACACACATTAAAGATGCAGAAAAATCAAAATCAAGTTTCAGTTTATATAAACCATCCATAAGAATTCCAGAACCAATAATGGAATCATGTTTATCAAACAAACTGAAACATCCATGTCCAAACTTAAAGGAAAACCCAAGAACATCAAGTTTAGAAAGAGACATTAAGTTTCTAGAAGATGAAGGTACATAGAGAGTTTGTAAAAGATCCAGGTGGTGTCCGGAATCTAAAACAATACGATAAGTCCCTATGCCTTCAATTGGGCCCTTCATACGGTTCCCCATGAACAAGAAGTTCTCATTTGGGTTTATGCTCTGGATTGTAAGAAATCCCTGCATCACATTAGAAACATGAGTTGTAGCACCAGAATCCAACCACCATGTATTTGAAGGAACTTCAGACAAGTTTGATTCGAAAATTACAAAGATATTAGAAATACCTTTCTTTTCAAACCAAGACTTGCGTTTCAGGCAATCTTTCTGTATGTGTCCTTCTTTCTTACAGAAATAACATTTATTTGCCCGATTTTCCTTCTTTTCATCATTAGTGACCTGTGAAACTTTAGCAGGTCCTTTCTTCTTAAACTTGTTGGATTTCGGTTTGAGAACATTATTAGCTCCATGACCCACAAGGTTGACCGTATGAACTCCTTGTGCCTTAAGCCTCGTCTCCTCCTGAACCAACTTACTGGCCAATTCATTAACATCCCACTTATCCTTAATAGTGTTATAGTTAATTTGAAATGGCTCATATTGAGGAGGCAACGAGTTAAGCATAAATTGCACCAGAAATGAGTCATCAACAGTCATGCCCAGGGACTTAAGCCTTGCTGCAAGATTAGTCATGTCAAGAACATGTTGCTGCATACTTCGCGACCCATCATACTTTTTGGTCGTGAGTTCAGCCATAAGTGTTCCTGCCAATGACTTATCCGCGGAACGAAAACGCTCTTCCACAAGCAAAAGGTATGCTTTCGCATCCACATTATCGGGAAGAGTTGACTTAATATTGTTGGCAATCATCATTCGCATAAAGCTCAAATGGGTACGGTTCCGAAGATGCGCCGGAGATGTCACCTATGTACCCCAGATCACTGTTCTAAAAATCGGCCTAGGCGGCCGCCTAGGCGCTAGGCGGTGCCCGGGCGCCTCCGATTTGTACAAATCGGCAGAAAAAATCGGCCAGGCGGCGCCTAGGCGGGCCTTGGCGGCCATAGGCGCTCCTAGGCGGGCTTGGCGTGCTCGGCAGCCAAGCGGTTAGGCGGCGCCTAGGCGGGCGTAGGCGGACCTAGGCGCTCCTAGGCGGGCTCGACGACAATTTTTCAGTTTTTTTATATTTTTTTTATTTTTTTTAAATATTAATTACATTATTTTGTTCTCATGTTTTCTTTAATATATATTAATACTATTATTTGGACTTTGGTGTGTGAATTTATTATAAGTTTAGATAATTTTATTTTGTAGGTAGTTAAAATAAATAAAAAATAAGGTATTTAATATTAATTTCTGGGCCCCGACTAGGCGCCCTAGGCGCTAGGCGCTAGTCGAACGCCTAGCGACTTTTAGAACACTGCCCCAGATCGATCCTTGACGACAAAAATGAAGCTGGAATCGAGATTTCTGTTCTTGGGGCTAGGGTTCGTTAAATGCCGTGCTGCGATATGAAGATGGAAGATCGAAATTTTGATTATATATTGGCAAGGTAGTAATTTGTGTATTAGGGAGGGCCAAAATGGTCCGAAAAAGATATAAATGAGGGTAAATTAGACTTTACATTTGGCAAGATTGTTTAATCTAGAGGTGGCCAGTCAACGGGTCCGGGCCCGGCCCGGCCCGGCCCGCCTGGCCGAGGCCCGGTACCGAACCGGACAAAGGGGCGGTCCGGGACCGGTTCTGAGCCCGGACCCGCCGGTTGCATCTATATTTTTCATAGTTTCATTTTGTTATGTCTCAACCTCAACTCCTCCGTTATGCATGTTCTTTTTGAACAATATATCCCTTTGTTGAATTAATCTCATACTAAATTCATTTGAAAGTATACTATTCACGTATGCCATAATCAAGCAAAACGCGTAAAATTTCACTTTTTCAATACACACCACAAACTTGATAATCCCACTTTAAGTCAAACATCCAGCTACGTTGCAAGTCATGATCAAATAACAAGTCTAACACAAGAAGATAGTTTTCCTAACGCACAAACATCCAAAGTACAATAACAGCAACACAAACACGAAAATATCGAACAAAGTAATCTAAAAGACCGAGGCCAACTGTGCGGCCATCTTGCCGGCGCAAACAGGCCGTGTACTGTCTCTCTAAGTCCACCTGAAGCTGCTCCCGTTTCTTCTCGACATCCGGCTCGTCCAGCTTGGACTCCACCTTCGAGTCCCCCTTCACGCCCTACAATTCGCCATAGGCACCCAACCCAGCCTCAGACTCTAAAACAATGTTAGTATGTGTGGTGGGATAAACGTAAAGTTACGAGGAGCTTAATGCATATAGTTTCGTGGATTATGGGTATGTTTGGTAAACCTAGCTGATAAACTAGCTTATAGCTTTTAACTGAATTTCATGCTTGTAGCTGATAGCTTATGACTTATGGCTGAAAAGTTAGCTTATATGATAAAAGTGATTGGTAAAATTAGTTGATAAGCAAACTGAAATAAAAATTTCAATTGACTGTTTTCTTTTTGAGAAATAACTGAAATGGATACATTTTTTACCATAAAAAAACCCCAAGGAACCTTGTGAGATAAGCTCGTCCTATCAAATCAAACTTATTGGAATAAATTAAACTTATACAACAACAACAACATACCCAGTATATTCCCAACAGGTTGGGGTCTGGGGGGTCAGTTGTACGCATACCTTACCCTTGTAATTATACAAGGAGGCTGTTTCCGTAGCGACCCAAGGTGCATTGCGCCGTTTGATATATTTTTTTTTTTTCTAGAAACTTCACTAATAGAAGAAGCACTAGAATTTAATTGAGCCATTTTGATATAGTCCATTATTAGCATTATGCCAGGAGAATTGTCAACAATGACTCTTCCAGCTCCATTTGAAATGGACAAAATAAATTAAACTTGTAAGCTAATCAAATAAGTTATAAGTTAGCTTATATGCTTACTNCAATCCGTCACATAAGCCTTCTCGGAAGGAACTGTTGGACAATTCTCCAAAAATGATATCAAAACACGAAAAACAGAACAGAAAGCACATCACTACAGGAGAAAATGGAAACATACCATCTGGGCCAGCAGCAGTGCTCTCCATGCTAAAAGTCTTCCCCTACTTAGCGACAGCTTCTTCACCCTTGTTGGACATACCATCCAAATCCTCCTTTGTATCTCTATTAAATTGCACCTTATCAGGACCTGCATCCAGGCGCCTACTCTTTTCATCAACTGCATCGACTTCCTTGGAGTATCTTGAAGAGGATTCCTTTAAACGACGTCCAGTATTTTCTCTTCGTGAAGAATAATCATTTATTTGATCCCTTGACTCTTCATAAGCAGGCGAACGATCACCTTTGTAATCCATTGAACTCTTTCTATAATCCATCCTTCCATATCGGTCACTCCTATCACCTTTGTCCTTTTTCTCAATATTTGCATGCCTACTATCAGAACCAGCCCAATTATATGAGTCTTTATCCCTACTTCTATGCCCCAAACCATCAGATTTCCCACGAGAGTTAGTGTCCACATCTTTCACGTAATGTCTAGATGGGAGCTCCTTATCAGACCTCGAGTAATTTGAGTTGTTTTTATCTCGCGAGCCCTGTCTAGAATGGTAGGATGACTTGGAATAACCTCGATCATAGTCATCCACATGTCTATCAAGCCTGATGTGATCGTCATGCCTGTGATACCTCCTAGACGACTGTCGATCCTTAGTGTTATCCCTCTTTCTTTCATCATCATCATCATCAAATTTTGCTATATCCTTTCTCAATTGGACAGGACTCGAGTTGCGGTCACGTTGTGGACTTCCTGAATGCATGTAAAAGAAACTATGGGAGTAAAAGAATGGTTAATAACAATCATGATAGACAAAGATAAATGAAAAATAATTCACGAAATTAGAATTTTTGAAGAGATATTGTAAGGCATGATGACTGTTAAAAACCATATTTGCCTAATTTGCACATATAGCTGAAGCATTCCATTCATATAATCATAGCACAAGGCATATAGCTCAATACACATCACATAGGACACAATCCAACAAACTATTCACGATTGAATGTTGAATATGGCCTTTCAATTTGTAATAGTCATCAGTTAAGTGAACTTAGTAACATCTTCAAGTACAGGCAGAAACACAATTTGGATTGCTCATTAGCATCATACAAGTTACGCAAAAAAAATTCCAGCACAATTTTTTAAGCAATACAAGGGACCAAATAAATGCTTCTAACAGCAAGTCACCATAAACCATAACCGAGGCAGAACATGAAGTTATTAATAATAATAGACTACAAAGAAACAACCAATACCAGCATTACATTCAACATACCCACAACAAACTCAAAGCTATACCAGGATTCATAAGCAGTAATTTATAAAGTTACTACCTTTCTACTTAAAAACAAAATGAACATTCCAAGGAAATTACCATCAGATGAGGACGTTGATCCAGCCACCGAAGATCTAAGCCGGTACTTCCTATTAGCCGAGCCATTCGAAGGCTTCCGAAATTCAGCCTTCGAGTTCAATTTTTCTCTCTAGCTCGAATCCATGCTCACCTAACTCAAAACCAAAGGCCTAATAAGACATAAAACCCTAATGAATAATGATTTCTATGTTCATAACGAAAATTCTAAACAATTGAACTCAGCAAAATCACAGATACATATGCCAGAAGATGAAATAAAAGAAAAAAACAAATTCATATGTAAAGCGGCAAAATCATGTACGCGTATCCATATTGAGCCTAGACTCACATGCATCTCGGTCCGCCCCTGAACAAACGTGCTCTTAGAGCATCTCCAACCACAATCTCTATAGTTACAGTTTCTACAGTAAAATCCCACTAGTTATACAGTTTCAACAGTGCCAGCAACTCCAACTCATTCCCTCTATAATTCTCCTCTAAAAGAATATTCCAAGAATATTCTTTTCTAATTTAATTAGTTTATTAAATAATCTCTACAAATTACATTTTAATGCATTATGCTTGCTAAAATTTACATATTTACGTATATATATTAATTATCGATTAATAAGATTAATTGCTAAATTTAAATCGAAAATCATAAAATTTCACACTACATCATAAAACGACGTGGATTTCATCACAAACATTAATTTGAAAAAAAAAAAACATCAACACAAACATGAAGCATTCAATACAACAAGAACTACAGAAAACAAAATACAACACTAGTTATTGCCATGAGAATATTTTTCCCACAAATGTGCAATCAATGCATTACGAAGTTCATAGTGGACAGACTTATCCTTGATTCTTTTGTGTCGAGCAAGAAATTGTTGAAAAGAGACGTGATCTCGCGGTGCTGGAGTAACCGTAGGAGCACCAAATTGAACATCACTTCTAATTGGTGCACTAAGATCCCTTTGCTCTTCGACATTCATATTGTGTAAAATAATACATGCTTTCATTATATCATTAAGCACCTCTTTTTTCCAAAAACGAACAGGACCCGCGACGATTGCAAACCTTTTTTGCAGAACTCCAAATGCACGCTCAACATCTTTTCTACATGCCTCTTGTCTCATTTTAAAGTATTGCTCCATTGGATTTGATGGTGCAACAAAAGACTGAACAATAGTGGACCATTTTGGATATATACCATCTGCTAAATAATAGCCCATATTAAACTGTTTACCTTGAATGGTGTAATTAGCTGGTGGAGCGATACCTTCAGCAAGATTTGACATTAGAGGTGATGCTTCCAGCACATTAATGTCATTATTCGCACCTGGCATACCAAAATATGCGTGCCATATCCATAGATCATAATCAGCCACAACTTCCAAAATGATTGTTGGCTTTCCGGAACGTCCAGCGTATTGACCAGCCCATGCCTTAGGGCAATTCTCCCATTCCCAGTGCATGCAGTCCAAGCTACCCAACATACCTGGAAAACCACGTTGTTCACCAATATGAAGCAACCTAGCGATATCATCGTGATTTGGTGATCTCAGATATTGTGCTCCGAAAACTTCAACGACTCCACGACAGAATCTCTTTACGCATTCATTGGCCGTTGACTCAGCAATCTTAAGATATTCATCGACACCATCTGCTGGAGTTTTATAGGCCAACTGACGAAGCGCCGCTGTCCCTTTTGTATATGTTGACAATCCAAGTCGACCAAGACCATCCCGACGTTGTTGGAAAAAACTATCATGATTTTCCAATGCTCGCATAACACGTTTGAAATTATGAATAGAAATCCGAAACCTTCGACGAAATGTATCTTCATCGTAGGTTGGATTACTACTAAAATAATCTCGAAACAGTGTGCGATGAGCCTCCTCCCGATCACGATGGACTACTCTATGTCCCGGAACATAACCTCCCCAAGTTGGTTGGCTACTTTGCGCGGAGAGAGCATGTGCCATAAAATAATTATTGGTTTGCAATAAATGAGTGGTGGTTGATTCCAAAGTGTTATCAAAAAGAGGCAATGAAGCATTTGCATCTTCCTCATCAGAATCATAATTATAAGGGGGAAGATAGTTCATTGTGAATGATATTAGAGGGAAGTATTACAGAAATATTTGATAATGAATTTATATTTAGCTTGGATGATATCATGTATAGTTTCATGTTTATATAGACGAATGGATGAATAAAAAAAATACATTGTTTCTTCATTGGATTCTTTTTCAGACAATACCATGTGAAAAAAAATTGACCAACACAATGCCAAATGGAATTATTTCGAACAAGACCATGTGATCATTATTACTCTACATTATTATTGGACAATGCCATGTGATGGTATTGATTAGTTGGCATTGGACAATGTCATGTGATGCCATTGGACACTACAATATTACACTATATTTTTAAGTTCACACTACATTAATTTGACCAACGCATTATTGTTTGAAGTTTTCATGTGATGGCATTGATTAGTTGGCATTGGACAATGCCATGTGATGCCATTGGACACTACAATATTACATTATATTTTTAAGTTCACACTACATTAATTTGACCAACGCATTATTGTTTGAAGTTGTCATGTGATGGCATTGATTAGTTGGCATTGGACAATGCCATGTGATGCCATGTGATGCCATTGGACACTACATTATTACACTATATTTTTAAGTGTACACTACATTAATTTGACCAACGCATTATTGTTTGAAGTTGTCATGTGAATTCGTTTATCTATTTATACATCAAACTTCAAGAAGCAACTATACACATCTCATTTCTTCTTCCATTATTGTAGTCTTCTTGTTCCCACTCTTCTTCAATTCCTTATTTTCTTCAAAATGTCTTCTTCAAAGGGCCAAAATACTCAAAACCGGAAGATGTCTTAATTGTTAGATGTTACATAAGTGTTTCACAAAATCCAATATCGTCAAATGATCAAAGTTCTTCAACCTTTTGGAAAAAAATACATGGTGAATACAACTCCCAGAAACACAAAGATTTACCAGAACGCTCTATGAGGTCCCTTGACTCTCGTTACCGTCTCATGGAAACTCATTGTCGGAGGTTTAATGGATGCTTGAAGCAAATCAAATATCGCAATCCTAGTGGGACACAAATCCAAGATAGGGTGAGTATTTTGTTTTAAGTTCAATCTCGGTTCATGTTATTTGCTTGTTTTATAAGTATACTTACAATTATATATCTTTTACTTTGTTTGTAGATTGAGCAAGCCGAACGATTGTTTGAACAAGACCCAAAATATAAAGATGGCTTCAAGTTTCATCATGTGTTCCGACTATTCAAAGAGTTTGGTAAATTTGATGATAATGTGTCCCAACCACGATCTCGTCGTCGGGATTTCGATACACTCAATGACTCTTCCGAGTCCGACGTTCCATATGATGGACAACCAACACCAGAGTCTCCGGGATTGTCGTCTTTTAGTCCTCAACAAAGTGACGATGGTGTTGGTGGAACATCCTCTCAACGTCCAATGGGAGCGAAGAAAGCAAAATTGAAGAAGAAAAATGAAGACCAATTTTGCCAATATTTTCAAACTCTAAATGCTAAAAGTGATACTATTGTTGATTTGTTGCAGAAAGCCGATGAACGTCAAAATGTCCAGCTTCAATTGCAGAAACAACATATCGATTTGCAGAAAAAGAGGGATGAAGATAGAATTTTGATGATAGATTTGAATTCCCTTACGAATCCCATGATACGTCGACACTGGGAACAAAAACAAATGCAAATTTTACAAGAAAGAGAAATTGAGCAACAACAATCTCAAGCAACACAACCATCATCTAACACGGGTCAATTTGGATTTCTCGATGACATCGGGCATGACGGAAGAAATTTGAATGATTATTATGGTGACAATTAAGTCTATGAAATCGTCTATTTGATAATCCTTTTTTAGTTTTTATTTTTATGTTTCGTATTAATTATTGTTGTTGTAGCATGTGTGAGCTTTAAGATGAGTTTTTTAGTTTATTTTTATGTTGTGATTTTAATTTTAGTGTTTGTACTTTAATTTTAAGTGTGTTGAATGTTTATCCTTATTTTATAATTGTAACTTGTTTGTTTGAAATATTTATTTAAGTGAATTTAAGTACTAATTAATATTCTATCGTACTAATTAATAAAAGTATCCAATTTTTCATTATACTACTTAAATTTCTACCATATTAATTACAATAATTAAGTTTAAAACTTTTATAAAAATATTTTAATTTCACTCATAAAATTGACATAAAAATACTTTTAATAAATTTACATAAAAAAATTAAAACCATAAAATTTAACTTGTCCTCTACAAATTTGCTCATTTTGCTATTATACATCCATGAAACTTGAGCTTCTCTAATTAAATGCTCGAAGCTCTGAAATACTCGATAAATGGCTCGAATGGAATCGTGCCAAAAAGGTCTACACTTCCCGACTTGTTTCTCGGTAAACCGAAATCTCACACGACCTTGCGGGGTTTACGAAAGCGGTTTTTTCATTTATTTTACTAATATGCGCCCTCGAGCTCGAGATTTTCAAAATAAATGCTCGGGGCCTCGAAATACGAAATAAACGCATCAACCGACTTCTCCTCTTCTCGTGCTTTCACGGAAATACTCTCGTTAATGCTCGGCCCGCCTAAAGAGGGCCGACGGGGTTGCCGAAGTAGCGACATAAAATGAAGCTCATATTATGAAAAATGGAGAAATAAAATCCTCTGCTGCTTTCTTCTTCTCGCTACACCGTCCCTACCTCCGGCTGCTGCTCGATGGTAGTCAAATGGAGATGCTGAACGGACGGAACCTTGCTGCTGGCGAGGAAAAATATATCACAAAATATAATCATCATCACAAATTCTTTAACAAAACAAAAATAAAAAAAATAAAATAAAAAACCTAAGCGGGTGAACAGTGAAACGGTTGCCAAACCGTTCCACAAATCATAGCGTGGCATTTCCGGCAAATGAAGAGAGCCCGTTGGAGATGCTTTTTCTCCACCTGTGCCGTTTCCTGGAGGTTTACAGGCCCGGTTGGAGATGCTCTTAGAGCCTGGTCTGTATGGCTTATAAGCCAAAACTCAGTTTTCTTTAATTTTAATATATATTCTCCCGTTTCCGACGAAGAAAAAAAAATAATAATAATAATGGAGAAGGACGAAATATATATAAAGGGTAAATAATTTTTTCCAACCTGTTTTATACGTGCTTTTGAGATTTTCAACCTAAACTATTTTTTGTTGTAAAATGCAACCTGAACTACATATATACAATTATTTGCATGCTCGAGTTCTTTTGACCGTCCGATCATCCATAAAAAAAGACACGTGTATGGTCAAGATGTGGTCGAGCATGCAAATAGTGACTGTATATGTAGTTCAGGTTGCAATTTACAACAAAAAATACTTTAGGTTGAAAATTCCAAAAGCATGTATAATACAGGTTGGAAAAAATTATTTAGCNTTTGTTAGGGCCTGGGGGTGTAATTTGATGGGTTTGAGCTCAAAATATGGGCTTTTCTAATATGCCCAGCTTGTTAGAGGTTTTCTGGCCCATATGTATGGGGGCCCAAGAGCATATATGCTGATGGCTAGATAAAATAAGAACACTATACCCTTAATCTTCAAAACCTTCTTTATTTACACGTTAATGAATTTTTTGATTTAGTTACAAATGGACTAATTTTATTATTTATGAATGGACGATTTGCAATTTATCCTTGTCATTTCTTATTATTTTTCGTTTATGATGTAGTAAATATGTAGATGGACCAAAAAAATATAGATGTCCAAGGGTCTAGTTGTTTTTAGACTGGGCTCATTCCTAATGACGAACAATATTTTAGACTCGACCTAAGGCTGAAACCTGAATTAATGGGTCTAAGGCATGGGTCAACAGTCGCATTCCGTTGGTTGAACGGGCCGACCCGGACCAATTACCATATTTATTTTGATTGACCATTAAATATTATAAATAAAATATAATTTTCAACTCTTAAAAGTAATTGTGTTTTTCAATTTAACCTTATAAATTTTAACGAGAATTTTAGTCCCTAAAAATAATGACAAGTAATTTAACAAATACCCATCATTTTTCAATTACTATATCACCTTTATGAACATGATACATTAATTTAAATATAGATATAGTAATATAGTAATTAAGACTATAACACACAGATCAAATATTGTTGGATCATTTGCTTTGTGGATTTATTTATTATTTTTTCCTTGTATTAAACAAAAAGTATAAGGTATTCATTTGTATTAAGTGAAGTATAACAATAAGAATGGTTATGCAAGTGAATTTTATTTATCAACTTGACTGTTAATTTTGGAATACAAAATTGTAATCGAAATCTCACCAAGTTTAACTAGCTTGGTTGAAACCAAGCAAACGAGTCATAACTCATAATCGCAAGTGAGGGGCGAGGGGAGTGGGATAGGGAACTGGTGAGACAATCATTCACACCGGCTGATGCAGATTTGATTTTGCAAATCCATATTTCTATGATGGGGAAAAGAGATAAGCTCATATGGCAATTTGGGAAGAAAGGGAAATTCACTGTTAAATCTGTTTATAAGGTGTTGATTGATAAATTTGAATCTAGAAGGGTTGTGGTTTCTTCCGGTGATACTGCTCAGAATATGGCTGCTATTTGGAACTTCACATGGAATCTTCCTATCAAGGGTAAGATCAAGCTGTTCATTTGGAATGGTGGTTTGAATTTCTGAGCTCTAGTGATCAGCAATTGAGAAGAAAATTCACAGTAGACAGTATTTGCCAACTATGTCGAGCTGCCCCTGAAGATTTGGACCATATCCTATTTAATTGCTTAAGAGCCAAGATTGTGTGGAATAGAGTGGCAGGGATTTGATAAAGATGATGTCTCATTTAATGAATGGTGGGGAAGCTTAAGGACTAATGGCAGGGTTTGGTCGGAATCGCACGAAGAAGATGAGGTGGCAGGGAGGCAGCCCAAGCCCGATCCAGAGCAAGAGGCCCAGCCCGAGCCCAGCCATGATGCTGATATGCAGGAGAGTGATGGAGGTGGCGCGCCTGATGATGAAGAATGAAAATGGCAGCTCTAAAGACTTTGTTCACAAACCATTGGTGGGTTGCTAAGGTGCTCAGAGGTCGCTTATGCTTTTAGCGTACTGGTGAGAAAAGCTAAACATGGATTTTGTGCCAAGTTTTTGTGTGATGTCAGATTTTGTTGTAGTTGGACTGGAAAGAATGAAAACTCCTTTATTAACTCAAGTGTGCTGCGTGCAGAATCAAACGACAGACAGTCTTGTTATTTTTAACTGTAGACATAGGAAAATTATAAAAAATTAATAATGTTTTATTACTGTATTTAGTGTTTTTTATTTCGTTAGAATAATAATAATTTTACTTTGTGGTGTGGCTGCTAAGGTTGGCGGTGCTATGATATTGTGACGGTGCTGGGGTATTTGCCGAAAGCTGGTGATGGAAGCCACCGGGATTGTGATACACCCGACAAGCCTAATGTATATTATGCTAATGACCCTGGCAAACTGTATATCCGCCCGAGTAAGCTTTCTTGCTTTCAGTTAGTTGTGTGTGCGATTTTAGCTTAATTACAAGAATAAAAGCTAATTAGTCTGTTTTTTTTTATTATTTATAAAATTAGTGATGATGGAAATTTTGTCTACTCTTATGTGCTTTTGATATTATTGAACTGTGGACTGTGAAGGTGATGTTCTATATTGGAGTCCATGGCTATGTTTACATGCAAATTGCATTTTGTCTACCTTATGTATATTGTACTAATGGACTTGGGTGCTTTATGAATAAGGATGTCTGGACGGGCTGAACGTGTCATGGTTTTCGGACGTGGGCCGGCGGCTTGTGTCTGCACGAGGATTCTATTCGCCGGACATGACAGACACATTTTCTAGCATATTGAAGGACATGGCATCTGAACGCGTGCTGAGAAGGGCTAAAATTTTCTTGTCACGATGGAAGCTTGCAGGCTGGAGAAGGTAGCTTCTCTGGAAGCCAGAAATCGTTGGATGATCACGGGTTTATTGTCGGAGCAGAATGTTGGTTGCGTAACCAAAGAAGAAAGCTGGAGATAAGGTAGGCGATATTTCAGCATAAGAAACATCCGTGAAAATTTATCTAAAATCTTTCCGTAAAAATTTATCTAACCAGATTTTACCGTTTTAACATATATTTTCCTTTATCAATTTGTTTTAAATCCCTAATATTTCGTTAGTCTATTTGATATACTTTCAATTTTTTTCCCTATATTCCTGTATGAGTGGTTATTTGAGTTTGGCAACATATCTGGTGTAGTTGGCAATAATTCCTAACACCATTTTAGAAGAATAATTTCCTTTTGAAATGAAAAAAATATTGTGACAAAATTGACAATATGTATTAAAAACTCATGACGTCGTTACATTGTAAATTTATAAGAACATTTAAAATATTTTATCTCCATATTCATAAAGTTATAAGGTAAATAAATATTGGCGGGAATAGTATCTTCAGATGGAATGTTTCAACTATTCCTAACTTCATTCTTTTAATTTTTTTATTTTTCCAGTTCAAATAAATTGCCCAAAAAAACTAATGTTCCACATGTAAATAATTAGTTGATTAAACTTATGAATTTATAATATATATCAAATGATTCTAAATACATGCAAAGAAATCTCCTTGATTTGGGGCCATCAATCTTTGGTATAGATAAAAACTAAATTAGATTCTAGCTATATTTAAGAATTTATTACCCACTATATTCGTGAAAATTGAAAGTAGTTAGCATATTTTTATATATTTTCAACAACAACAACAACAACAACATAGCCTTTAGTCCCAAGCAAGTCGGGGTAGGCTAGAGATGAAACCCAAGGGAATTTTTATATATTTTCAAATATCCATTAATATATAAAGAGGTAATGATATTTACTTGAAGTAGTAACTTAAAAAAAAAAGTGGATAATTTTTTTTTTTTGACAAAATTTGAAAAATTCGCTTAAATTAATGTAATTAAGGTAAAGAATCATTTTGGTGAAATATTGCAGCTATAACCATTATTAGTTGAATGATTTCAATTTAAAATATAATATATTTATAAAATTGCGTCATTTATTTTTATTAGTTGTATGGTTTAAATTTGGTACACAATATATTGAAAGAAAAAAATATTTTTAATTAAAATTAAAAAAAAATTATTCATAACTTACGGGTTAATATTAACTTGGACGTAAAAGAAATAGTCAATTATTTATAGTTTAATAATTTACTCAATAACTTACGGTCAATATTAACTTGAGCGTAAACAATGTATTAATCAATTATTTATAGTTTAATAATTTACTCGACTACTTAATTTCTTTTGATTTGGATAGTTTATACAAAAAAAGTTTTTTTAAGTAATGAAGTAATATAAATATTATATTTATACTTATTATTCACTGAGGTTGTTAAATATATGATAAAATTTTACCAAAATAACTATTTTATAGAATCACATTATAGTGATCAAATCAAATTCTGAATAAAAATTTTGAAATGACACTTATTTTGAAACAAATATAGCGCAATTTATTATATCCATTTTGCAAGTTCGTTATTACGGGTAGTTCCTACAAAGGATCGGACTAATGACGTATCCAATACTTGAATTCTCGATGTAGATCCTACTTAGTTGGTTCTCATCCTTCAGAGACTACAAGTGTAATAGGAGCATCCGTCGACAAAAGGATCACCCTAAGATGATCATTTCATGGCTATTGGGAATGAATTCAATCAGTCTATTTTTCAATCTTTCTGACTTTCTTCTATGGAATCAGTTATGTGCACCGCACAAGCTGTGTACAAATTTTAAATAGACATTTTTATGTAATTTTGCACAATTAAAACTTCATATAATAGTTTCAATAAATTAATATAGGTAAATAATTTTACATATTGATTCGATATTTTTAATTTATAAATATTATTTAATAAGAATTTTTAATTTAAATATTAATGAATATCTCTTACCCGTGCACGCATGGGACTCATACTAGTTCAAATAATATGATAGATCGACAGTTTCAACCGTTGTGTGGTGCCAAAAGTATAATACACTTAATTTCATAAATGCGTCATAAACCAAAACCAACGTAATTTATAAACTAATGACAAAAATATACTACAAATCAATTACTTATAATTGTGAATTTTTTTTTTCATTTTTTTGGTTGCTAGTAGTATTTACAAATTATATATATATATATATATATATATAGAATTAGCTTTTTTGTGCTTAAAACTTCATTCATAATTAGGTTTTTGTGACTAAAAAGTTGATCAAATAAGTTTTCTACCCAACAGTCTAATTACCGAATTTGCTAGGTCAAACTTCTAACTTTTTTTTTCTTTTCACGACGACATATTCTATCAATAAAACACATAATTACAAGCGACCAACTAGTCGTCTGGAATTGAATTCATAAAGAAACTTATAGGACGAGGATGCCTATAGAATAAACTAAACTAACCACACCCACAAATTACAATAATAGTAATTTACACTACCACAAGTGAAGAATTCTAACTCAAAAAATGGAGAATACAACAGAAAGTACATTAAACACAACACTAAGACACTAGCTGTAGCGCCCCATTTGTTCCGGATTAAATTGGGAATTTTTATTATTATTTTATTTTATTTTATTCCGAAATTATTTATTCGAGCTCGATAATTCTATTTCGGTTATGTGCTCATAATTGTTAATTGTATTAATATAAATATCGAGTCGAATAGTATTATAATTTTATTAAACTGCCAGAGAGAAATAATTACTTGGTGATATATTATTAGTGTACGCTAATAAACATGTATTATGTCGGTTTCGTAAATTTAAAGATTTACGAGTCGTCATATTTTATTATTGCGAGTATTGTATATATTCGGAGTTACAGAAATTGAGCCCGATAACCAGTAATCGAAATTAGAGGATTCGTAAGCCCGTTGTTTACGAATTAATTGAGTTTATTATTATTAATATTTTTATTTTAAAATAATGTATATATTAAATAAATATTTCTAGGTTTTATCGTGCGATTAATTGAGCCCGAGTATACTCGCGTGAACCAAACCGATCAGTTCAAGAATCGGATTTCTCAATTTTGTGAATTTTGTGTGATGTGTGTATTTGTGAGAAAAGTCAAAATCAGAAAAGTCATAATAACATTTTTATATTATGAAATTATAGATACAAAATTTGTATTTATTACCTCATTCACGTGAAACAATTGTTCAGCATTTTGATTGTGATCTTCGATCCGCAAATCACTCCATCTACACATGTTGTTTTTCTTCTTAAATGTGATTTCACCGATCCGATCTCACCATCCCTCATCACCTTCATATCTCTCTCTCAAACCCGCTGCTGCAAATTCCGGCGACTTTAACGGCAGTTTTTCCGTCGCCAACTTTCAGCTCATCATCGGCCTCCATCATCGTCTTCCTGCCGTCATTTTCTCGTCACTCCCATCTCTGACGACCCCTCAGCAGCAACGACCATTAGCGGTATCACCCTCCTCCGCGGGATCCTGCAATTCCCTCCGCGTCGCGACGACCCGCCACGCCGCGGCCATGGCAGCTGTCGCAACCTTCTTCCCGGCGAGTCCTACTCCACGCCGCGACCAGGAAGTCTTCCACGAGCCGCCGTCGCCGCTGCTTTCTCGATCACAGCGAAAAACCGCCAAGCTTTGCCGTGCCGTGACCCTTCTCTTGCCGCGCCGCAGAATTTTTCCGGCGAGCTCAATGTCTCTTCGAGCAGCGTCCGGCGACCCTCCTTTCCGTTCCCGGCGAGCCCGTGAACCAGCAGCAAGCTTCTTCCTCCTTTCCGTGCACGTCGAGCCTTCTTTTCCGGCGAGACGCGAGTTCTCCGTCGAGCCCGACAACTTTACGTTCGTCCGTTTTCGTTTGATTCTCGAGAACGGTACAAAGGCTCGATCCCGTCTCGTTTATATCGTTTATGTTATTCATGAATATGTGTGATTTACGTGACGTAAATAATGTGCGTTAGATTGTTCGTTATGATTTTATGTGATTGTTATGATTTTATGTGTTAGCGTATGTTCGGGATCTCTTCGATTTTCTCGAAAAATCGAACGAGACCTCGAAATTCGTGTAAGTCGGTGGATACTGGAACAATGTCGAGTCCTTGGTTTTATGAAAAGGCCTCGGACGATTAATTTCGTGTTGTAATTTAATAGTCGAGTTGTCGAGCTTATTAATCACTGTTTTAACGTTCGAATTTTTAAAAATAGCTCGCTGCTCGAAACGATGTGAAATTTTGAGAATTATGTTATCTATCCATTGTCTGCCTTGTGTAAAATTTTCATAATTTTTAGATACCTGTAGCTATTTATTTTAATTAAAGTGTGAATCTGAGCAGATTGGTATTAAATGCATAAGTAATTCATGCGTGACTGAAATGAGCTGAAATTTGAATATGTCATGCCACTGTGACTTATATGTGTTGTGTAAAATTTTTAGAATGTTTGGAGTTGATTTGATATGGGTAATATTTTATTTATTGAATCTGCAGAAATGTTGTTTGAATTTTTAAAAATCGGTTACTGCATGAAAAATTCTGAAATTTTACTGAGAGGTCTAATTTATGTGTTTAATCATGTTTGTAAAAGATGAGAATTTTTAGAGTCGGTTTGGTTTCAGTTTGGATTTAAATTCGATAAACTGCTGTTGCTCGTTTGGATTTTTAAAAATAGTACCAGTCATCATTTAAGGCTGAGATTTTTATACATGAACTTTATCATAATGTATGTTGCTGTGTAAAATTTTCAGGTTCAAATTCATTCATTAAGTCTGAGTATGAATTAATGTACCCTTTTCACTGAATTACTGTTTGAATTTTATAAAATAAGGTATTTTGAGTTTAAAGCTGAAACTTTGTGATTTTACATGTTTCTGGGAGATGAAATTTTGTATAAATTTTCAGATCTTAATTCGTAGGATATCTTGACCTTCGATTTTTCATGCGATTAAATGATTTCAATTATCGAGCATAATTGTTGTATGGAATTTGGATTGACTTGTTTTTTTTTTGGTTTTTA